GACGACCCCGCCCTTTAATAAATAAATAAAATGAATGAAATAACCACAACATGCAGCAATCGGTAAAGTTTAATAAACAATATGATTCAGTTATTGCGCCAATATTTATTGATCAATTTAATCAATCAATCAAGCAAGCAAGCAAGCAAGGTATTTTAATTAATTTAATTATTTCATTTATTTAGTTTGTTTCAACAGGATCCGTGGCAATCATCTCATCAAGAAAAACACAGAAATACACGGTAGGTAACGGATATATATCAACGGTATTATAACTACTTGAAATACAAAAAAAGCAACATGTTTTCAGTCTGCGCATTTTAATTCATACATTCTTTCTAGATAACAACTTATATGGTGTGCTCTTGTGTTTCTATTTTATTCGCGTTATCATTGGTCGTATTTGGGACACATGGTATTTGCGAAGAACAAGCATGGCATAGCGACAATAAGGTATGTCTCATTTCCTGCGTCGTCATGGTGACTAAAATGAACTACTATATGACGTCATGCATCTCCCACTGCTGAGGATGTCATTTACCTTGTGGAATCGAGCGATGTTGCAAAATGATGGATGACCTCTGAGTCAGAGTTCAGTAAAGCTCCGCCCACTCTCCCCAAACTTGAACTTATTCCAGTATTAGTGTTGAACTCTGATTTATACTTTATGAATAAAACAACAATGTCCCATAAAACAAAATACGTAATTAACAAAGAAATCTTCTTGCTTTTTTGGAAGTCAAGGGTCATTTCAAAACAGGTCGTTTAGACCTCAAATGTGTGTAGTGTTTTTTTCATACACCCAGGCCGATTGTTGCTGATTACCAGTTGACATATCCCATAATATACTAGCGATATTAGATTGCATTGTGAAATTTTACGCCCCCCCCCCACATTTTCCAATTTACCTGAACAATGAATAGCTTTAAAAGTAAACAAAACTTTTTTTTTTAAATATTTGAATGTCACCGTTGTCTCTCCTGACTTTTTTTTTGTATGTGCAAATTGCAAGTGCTAGTGCTGACACATAGTGCATTTTGCCACAGAAGTCATATTCAAGTTTGGAACTACATGACAGGGCTGTGTGGCCATCTCTCTGTCAAATGGCAATTTTAATGCGCTATCCTGGCGTCAACCAGGCTCGGTCGAACACAAGCACCTGCGGACCTTAACAAAGGTTCCCCCAAAGTCGCATTCGTTAGTGAATGAATCTCGGCCAGTGGAATTGGCCTTCCCATTGAGTCTGTGGCGCACTCACCCAGGGTAGGGGTTTGAACATGGGTCTACCGATCATGTGTCTGGAGCGACAACCACTATGCTACCAGTGACCGGTCATCAAAACTTTACAAAACAAAACAAAACAAAACTTTACATATTCTCATTACCGCAATAATGAAAACGTTACATTTGCCATACAGCGCTTGTTCGAATTGTGTGTAAACACGAATGTATATTTCAATCGTAGTTAAAAAGCTCGCTCAGTAAACGCCGTCTCGATGTAGCGCTGAATTAGCAACTGAAACCGACCAGCACACCCCGCCCCCATAAGCTGTACTGTGTGTAATATGAATATGGGTTACCTGATTTTAAAGCGCGGTGGTCGTCGTGCAGCGCGGCGCGTGTTCGAATTTCATGTAAATAAACAATGTACATGTATTTTACACCCGTTGTATACGTCGCTATGAGTCCCATATCGAACAAGACGCAGCACGACGACTGCCGCAACTTGGAACGCAAGCAAGCGAGACCGTCCGTTCGATAGTTGGGGCTGTCCGATGGTTGGGCCAGGGAGCGTAGTATACGTTGCATCAAAGACACTTTTCTGGGACCTGTCAACGTGCAGGTAGTCTACCATTTGTTAGATATGTTAGTGATGGTACCATCTTGCTCTATTAAATAACATTTTTTTGTTTTATAGATTATTTTGAAAAATCTGAATCTTGACGCGTACGATATAGGGTGTGTTTTCCCGTGGACGAAAAGCAATGACGTTAAAGCGCGGTAGTCGTCGCGCTGCGCATGTGTGACATTTGTGTTGATATTAAACATTGATTTTCCCACAATCCAATGCGCTCTTCAAATGGAAATCACAAGTATGAGGTTTGACCTGGGCGCGATATGCACTGATTACCGCCGGTGACTCCGTAATACCTTCGAATAACATGAAAATTATCTAATTAAAGCTTGGTAACGTCTCAGTTCATACTCGTTGATCTGCGCAACAGTCAAAGTCGCCATATTTGTTTATATGAGACCCATATATCTCGCACATTGCGCAGCGCGGACGACTACCGCGCTTTAATTAAGTTAGGAGCAGTCACAAGAGGGCGTGCTCTCATTGATCCTCTGTTTCTGACCACATTTGTTATAATGCACAATTATATTAAAGGGCAGTGATCGTCGCGCAGGGCGTGTTCGAATTTCATATACTAGTAAAAAAGCAACGTATTTTATCGAACAGTACGCGACGACCTTCGCCCTTCAACTCATTAGCTTACAGTTGTAACTGCATTTTCTACACAGGATGAACTTGAATTCAAGGCCGGGCGATCGATTATATATGCACGTTTGGCAATTGATGGAGGTATAGTTGCCATGGCAATTGCTGAGTTGATATTGTCTATGTTATCAGTATCTGTAAGCAGAAGGGGACTTCAAATACTGGCGTTCGAACAACAACGGTCACACCATCCGGTAGGTCTTTGATTTTAAACGAAAGATTTACAAATTATCACCATTGAGGGCAGTATCATGAAGCAAATATTTGTTGATGAAAATCTGTGAAGTGGACGGATAAGCTCTGGGAATGGGAGTTGTGAACAAATAAATTGAGGAACTCTTAAGTGTGTGTATTTTGATTTGACCTGAAATATAAAAAAAAAAAAAATTATTTACGACCACATACCGCGAAGGAACTATGATTAGATGTAATGAGAAATACCTCAAATCCAAATTTGCATTTATTGAGCTGATTTTGAGCCGATCTGCAAAAGCACCATGAGAATAAATATCAATATTATTAGCACACTTGGAAACTCATAAATTATATGTCAATTTGATTTGTAACAATACAGAGATTGTTATATGACAGCCTGAGTCATCCTGTTCACAGAAAAATTTAGATATAGGGGGAAACTTTTATTATGGAAACCAATAAAAAGAACAATATTATTCTCTTGTTTCTCGTAAATTTAATTTTTTTTTATTTTGACTATGTTTCTTCAATATTTTGTAATACATATACATGTACATGTATATATATTTCTATTTTCACTACCGGTAAATATCAAATGTTTATCCCAAAAAGTTGCCAAAGTACAGAAAATATAAATCTGATTTAATTTTTTATTATTTATTATTATTTGATGAATAAAATGAAACAATGTCTTTGTATATAAATAGGTTTACATTGTACCCGTCACTGCACATAAGCGGCCGATCCGCAAGGCACCACGGTCAGCGGGTAACCGTAGGCAAGATGGAGCAGTCTATGTACCAACCAAACACACAGATGAACCAACACTTCCACTTGCAACAGTGGTAGAGGAAGTGGATGGACAAGACACATGACCAACAACTTCCAAATAACAATCAAAAAGAAAAAAAATACTTGTTTTAATCATTAGGGTCAGCTTTTTGGAAAGCTCACTTTTGTTTTTCATTAACTTCTGGATATACATTTAAAATATCCAAATATGGTATTGAATGTGAGAGAAATATCCACATATGGTATGAACATGGCAGAAATATCCAAATATGGTATGAATGTGTCAGAAATATCCAAATATGGTATGAATGTGTCAGAAATATCCAAATATGGTATGAATGTGTCAGAAAACTAAATGGAGGGGTACCCAATACAAAATATGAGAGCATACCCTGATGCAGACAACTTTTCAGTCTCAATGTTGATGTGAGAGTATTTCCGGAAATTACATTCTGTCTTCATGTTAGAAATGTAGGCGAAATGTAAGCTGGAGAGGAATTTTTTTACTAAATTATAGTGTCACCGAGATAATATTTGTCATTGAAATTTGTGGATAGCTTTGATAAAAAATAAACTTTGGTCAAACTAGTGTGTGCCAGTGTGTGTACATTTATATTTATCTATTGAATTTGTGTGAGTTATTGCAAAAGTATACTGATGTGGCAGTTTGAGTATTGTATTTTTTAGAGCAGTATTATCACTTATAATAATACAAGGTTATTGATTTAATGAACTGACCATTCTAAATTTGGCCATCGCCCCCTTGAGTTTCTAATGATGCACCCCTAAGTAAGTAAATAAAGCAATTTTTTTATTATGTTATGGGCAATACACTAATGTCTAATACCGCTTAACCTAGGGGTTCGTCATTCAAACTTGAGGGGGGGGGGGCTGAATATTGTATCCACATATTATGACATTATTCATCATAAAATGTTTTGTTTTTTCTCTCAAATTTGTTCACCCAAAGTTTTCAATAGACCATTTTCTGTTCACTGCGAGAATCATGCGTTATGCGTGAAATCGAACGTAAAAACAGGACAAACAAAGGTCATAGCGTCGTAGTCGCGTCAAACATCGCGTGGGATTCGTCAAACGCGAAAGTATTTCGAGGACATTTCCATGCTTAATAATGTATATTGAGTGCGATAAAACACTGTCAATCGGCACAAAACTGATTGGTTGGATTGCTGCAGATACCTTATAAATATAATAATTCTGTGCATTGAGTAGAATTCAGTCACATTGGATAAATATATTTATCGCAACCACACAAATATGGCCAGTGTAAAAAATATATGTATATATTTGTCCAAACCATTAAATAACAAATTTTCCATGTGAATTTGTGGAGCAACCACTCCACTGTACTGGGTTGTGCACTTTGAACTTTTGAACTCCAAAATAAACTTGTCATAATTTACAAAACTGAACCTACAAAATATTTTTCATTTTTTTTTGAATTTTTTCATCAAGATCTGTAGCCAATGGGTGTATATTTGGTCTGAAATAAACAAAGAATTGCCAAGAAAAAAAAAAGAAAAAAAAAAGAAAAATGTGACTTGACCAAAATTGTGACAGGAAAAATGACAGGGTTAATAATGTATTAATTGACAGGTTAAGAATTACTGGTAAAAACCATTACATTAATTTCCAAATGCAAAAAGAAAATTCTTTTCCATAAATTACTATAGAGTGTACATATCAAAATGCAATATCAACAAAATACTAAATACATGTATACTCAAAGTCGGCGTGTTAAAATTGTTGACAAGACTGCATTTTCAATCATTCCAGAATTGGGAGGTCTGTATATCAAAAAGAAAAAAATAAATACTGGAAATGACACAAACACAAATTAATAATTTGCTAGATATTATTTTAATATCAAATCCAAACATGTTAAGCAAATGACATGATTATGCACACTCAGAATAAACCACTCAATTTTAAGCGTGTCTGAGAAAAACATTTATGAGAAACAATGTCATTTTCATGGCCACACATTTAAATAATTATAAAATTACATTAAAATCATTATCTGATGACATTGACCTTAAAAATAATCAATATTTACATCCAAATACAATCACGCGCAGCCAATTGATGTGGGTACTGTATTCACTCTATTTAAATATCATATATGTACATAAAACGACTGTCTCTACTGAAACTACCAACAGACGTAATACTGTAGATGTTTCTCAATAATGTACATCACTGTTATAAATCAAATCTTGCTAGTGATCTTATTTTAAGACTCCCATCAAAGACAAAGCCAGAATCATTGGTCATCACCTTACCATTTATTTGTATTTGTGTGGACATCAAGTTTTGGGCAAATCTCACCATGCAAAATATTAGGAGCGGTTTGTTACAGTTGCCAACTCCTTATAAAAAAAACAATCTTGAAATTTCATAGAAAATAACTTACATCAGCAATTGATGAAATTACAATGCTATATACAAGAGTGTTTATTGGATGCAGTGGGCTGGATAGTTCTTGTGGAATTACCATATACTTAATATAGTACAATAGCCCACACGTACCCCAAATACAATATATACTGTAACATCTGTATAAGAAGCTGCGGCTATTATTAAAATGGTACAATGCAACAGAGGGGATGCAGCTTCTATTAGAGCATCTACACATATGAGAAATGATGAATTTTGGTTCTCAGTTATTCAAAAAGAATTGGTGCGACTTCTATTAGGGATGCAGCTTCTGATACAGATTTTACAGTACATGTATATTAGCTACAGTGACACACAGTTTTCTTCAATAAGTAAATCAAATCTTAGTTCTGAGTCTGTCATGGTAAAACATGAATCTATGAAACACTTTGGTACAATGCTAGTGTAAACTAGACTTCTTGTTCAGTGTTCTTTGGGATATTAGGGCTGGGTGGTAGAGTGGTGTATAGTGAGTGGAATGCCACATAGATTCAACGCTAGAAGCATGTAAATGTTTTAGATGCGTAAATAATAAACAATAATAGTGAATATCAAATTTTGTTTTTTCCCTCTTAGCCTTTTCACCATCAGTTCCTGCTTTTCATCACAAATTCTAGACTTGCTGTATGTCTTGTTTACTTTTTGGTGTTTTTGTCAATAAATTTCGCGGGTTTATTTATTACCTAGTTTTTGACATTTACACACTCCCATGATATTTTATTTTATTGAAAAAATAAACAGAAAACTGTATCCTAGTCTTCAAAAAATAGTCTTCTTTTTGGTTTGCATTTTCTGTCAGAAGATTGGGACAAAAATAGCCAAATATTTTGAGTGAAAACTGAAAATTCAATTGAAATTTGGGCGAGAAAGTATTGTGATATACCTTCTAACCACCTTTGAATGATTGAGACATTGTGAAGTGAAATAAAATAATGCATGGGTAATGAATTGTAGCAGGACTTCTCACAAAATCCTAAAGTGATCTCACCATATAAATTATTGAGTTCTAACATGCAACAGAAAATGTCTTTTCATCATCACATGAATAAAATAGTTTTGTACATTTAAGTATCCTGATTTTCTACATGTAACGTACTGTAGAACATTTTAAATTAGCTATATACCATTTTGGCGAATTGACTCAATGCATCTTAATTTATGAATTACATGTAACAAAATTACATATAAAACTAAATTGAACTTAAATTAACTAAAAAGACATTTTTTACAGTAGTCTGGGAATTTTCATGTAAAGTCAAGTCAATAAAACTCCTTTGGTATTCTAAGTAATGCAAGTGAATAATATGTTTTGATTTAGATTTAGTTGGTCATAACCATTAAAAATAACATTTCAAACAAAATAACTTGTTTGTTTTGATACCCTTGTCTAGGAAAAAAATGAAATAATCTAAATTGTGTGTACTTTGCTCTCGTTTAGTGTAATAATAGAATTGCTCTAAGTTGTGAGCGTGTCAATAAAATGGTGTTGTTAGTTCTAGATTGGACGAAAAAAGTGTTTGGAATGTCATCTTCTGTCCGTATATTTTTTTATAACTGCTGTAAAGCTATATTGTGTGAATGCAGACAAATGCATTAAGTAAAAGTCCTGTAAGCGATTTCAAGCGGAAAATTGTATTATCGCCATGGTGGTAAATTCTTTGGTGTTGATGTTCTGACACTGCCAGCTCTAGACGAAGGCCTGCTGCCAGTACCAGTGTATGCCTTTGAAACGGACCGAGCTGAATTAGGTCTGCTTGACATAGTGCAGCGACTTCCACAAACTGGTGGACTCCATAAATAAGGTTTCGTTTTCTGTTGCTCTTCTTTCTTGACCCACGGAGGGTCAAAATTAGCCTCTTGAAGTTTAGGACCAAACAAAGATTCGTCAACATATGACGGTGTATGCTTCTTCAGTCGATACTTGTTGTACAACCGGGTTGGGGTATTTGGACGAAAACCTGAATTGACCCTGCAAGTGCTGTTATTATTACTTGGTGGAGTCCACAGTAAAGGTTTTTGAGGTCTGGGTTTGATTGCATTGTTTCTAGGATTATCAACCCATGGAGGCTCAAAAGTTGCTTCTTGCAAAGGACGACCAAACAATGTTTCGTCCACAGATGAACTCCCACCGACCTTATGGTAAGGATTACGTCGGGAACCTGACGCACTCACTGGGCGATTTCCAGTGACCAAAAGTTCAGATGGCTGTTGTCTGATGTTAGGATTGGAATAAGTTGTAGCCATCTTATTGTAGTGAGATTATGATTATGTAATCACAGTATTGAATGAACATCTGAATGGTGATTGCTGTCGTCTAAATCAATGTCCTGTAATCAAGGAAATAACAGTTAATTGTAATTCAGTAGAGAAAACTTATCAGCAATATCTAAGTTATAGCGAACTTGAAAAGTTTAAAATTGAGCTACTAATTGTATGTGTATATTTTAGTTGTATTAAGCTAGTTATCTAGTTAAGCTAGTTATCAAACACAATTACATACTTTTCACCACCATACTTTCTCACCCTTTTTCTTATATTTTTCAATACTAGAAATGAACTCCAATTATGGAGCTAACAGATAAAATTTGAGCCAATTTTTAGTTTTTACTAAAAAAGTTCGGCTATTTTGTCCCAATCTTCAAAAGTGCAGACTATTTTGTGAATTTGCGATGAATTGAGAGAACTGGAGGTGAAAAGGTTAATAATCATATAACATATAAAGTAAAGTAATACAAGTAAGATTTGGGATAAATATCAAACTAAATCGGTGACACAGGGAGATAAAAAATAAATAAATAATACCTGGACATTGACCTTTTAAAAATGATCATACAAGATTAACAAGAGAATACTGAAAAATATGCAAGTAGCAAAGGTCAATGTGACCTGGACTGTAGCATAGTGTATACTTTGCATGATTATTTTGGTAAACTTATTATCAATTTAATGAGAGATTATATCAGTAGCTGAAATTGGAAACGAAAAAACGTTTTGTGTGACATTCAGTGATGGGATTCTGTTTCTTTCCTGAACTATAGCACTTCTGCATTCTGCATGTATACAAAAGAAGTTGTTCCAATAATACAACAATAACCTTGAATGATTATCCCATATAAAGAGTGCTGATAAGTTTTGGAACAAGTAATAATACAGTTTTTTATGGAATAGCAAATTCTCATGTTTCTGGTGCTAGATGTATAATAATATTAGGTTATTACAAGGTATCTTCATAATAACCTTATTATTATACATCTTTTCCATCCAAGGATACACCATGGGAATGCCGAAATCCAAAATGTTTAGAACAGAATCAGCGAATTCTTGTTGATATCACTTAGATATGAATGTTGCAGTCTTTCCATACATTACACAACCACTTTTTATTTCTATAGCAGGATCCATGGCAGTGTTTTAGTGAGAAGCCAACAACGAAATATAATATAACCACTTCCCACCTTGAAATATTAATGGTTAATTCCTCCACTGGCCATATATTGTGAATTTTTCACATGAATGGGGAACTTAAACTGTTTTCCCCCTTGAGGTGGTTTCGATGACCTTCAATAACTTTTTAGCGCCACTGAGCCTCAAATTGTTGTAAAATTAATGAAAATTGCTATTATGATAAATCAGATTATATTATTGCGGTAATACAATTATTATAAATCTGGAATACTTTGGTCTTCAGAAATTATACACATTTGACTAATAACACTTTCATTACATTCTCGGTTTCCTTGTAGGGACAAGTGACATACTGTAACCACAGTACATGTACCACCATGGACATACTACCACTACAGGGTAACGGCTGTAGTTACAATACTCGGAAGGTTTTGTGCAGACTATCCCAGTACAATATTACCGGAGGGTAAAACGCAAAAGATTAAGCCAAACAATCCGATAACTGTAATTACAAATAAATCTGTTCATAACAAATATATAGTTGGATGTTTAGTAGTCCATTCTGAGCTCGGGAATGCCAAAAACATCGTGATTGCCAAAAAGGCAGGTATTCTGAATTAAAATGGCGTCGCCTTTGGATATCACAAGTAGGATCCAACCGTCTAAATCTCAAAATATCACGGCTTACTGTAATAATGCGTAACCATCCCAAATTTGAAAACACTGGAATAGATAAATACGTTTACAAACCTCGATTCTGTGGCAAATGAGCTGGAACAGAGGAGGACACCTCCCATGTCCGTCAAAAGGGTTGGCGTACGTTGTTGTCGAAAGCGTTGCTATTATCAGTTGTCCCGTTGCACATATCTGCCCCGTGGGGGCGCAATACACAATAGCATACACTGTCAACAGATAGGTGGCAGTTGGCGCTAAGTTTTTACAGGTAAATGTCCCAATCGGGGTTCCAATATATAAAATATTACTGTCATTATATATCGTTGAATTATACTGGAACTGGATAATTTGATTTTACAACTGCTTTTTAGGAATTGATTACAGTTTCATTTTACGATCTTTGTAGAAGGTCAGTGATCTGTGATGACAACCGAATAAGACGGTCGACAATGTAGGTACATGATTTCAGAAAAGATGGGCCAGGAATTTGAACAATAACAAGAAAATGTTTATATTGCATTTCTCAGCCTTATTAATTAATGTTCCAAATTAAAACTCAAATTGTTAAAATCTGTTCCCACAAATTTGATGTGACAATGTGTGTACTATCGAAAATATGATATATATTCGTTTCAAGTCATTGTTTGTACACGAGATTAAGTTATGGCTGATATATACGGAATCAGAAACATACCAACGGATGAACTTGTCTGGTCGTTATTGTCGGTGTATTGTCGACATATCTACAATTCTGTTGCAAGATATTGAGCAAACGAAGCAATATAAGACATCTTGAATCCGGTAACACATTCATTGGTGAAAAAAAAAAAAAAAAACATTATTCCTTTGTCGGGTCTGTTGGTTTGGCTTGTTCCGTATTTCATTTGACGAGCAACTGTAGTCATTCGTATCGTCTTCAAGTCCAAGCATCCTGAATATATACGCATTTATATAGTTATATGTTCAGTAAAAAATAGTAAATGCATTATTCTGTCACTACCTTGAACAAAACTTGGATGATGTTTAATTCTGTATATACTTACATTGCATCACGCTAACATTATCATGATGTATATCAGTCATATCTGTGACAACAACAAAATTTGTGGTACACGCTCAACGAACCAGACGCTACCTGAAATCCATGACTACATCGGGTCAAGAACATGTAAAAATATTACGATATAGATAAAAACTATGCACAACTTGGCCCCGATGTCAGTTAGAACCTCAGACTGGTAATACTAGTATGAGTTAGAACGTAACAATGATCAGTTCGCCAATATTCGCCAAAAGTTATTCGGAATCAATCGGCACGATAACACTTGTATTCGGCATTTTCGGCGGAATGCTAAATACACACGTGATATGAGTATTTGTATGATAGTCGTCACGATGCATGGGTCACAGTTCAATCCGTACTCACAAACACAATGCAAATTAAGCACGGAACATTAGACACATGTTTGATCGAAATTGACGTTTCCACAAACGAAATATTTTTCAAGTGGGTGATTTATTTGATCACATATATATGTGTTTGGTTTGTTCGAAATTTCATTCAAATTCAATATTTGTTCATTAAACATATCCAAATAAGAGCAGAAATTATTGTCAACAACTTGAAGTTTTGGTAACTTAAAGATTATTGGGGGATTAACGGTTGTGGCAATGAGGGAAGAAGTCATTTTTGTGCCCTACCCTGACCAGATGGATAATTAAACGAGTCTGTATTTTCAATTGTGATAAGATTAGAAAGTTATACCACCCATACAACTTATTGAATGGAAAATTGTCAATTTCTTACAAATCAAAAATACGCTTTTAGATGTAAAAAAACAAAACAATGAATTACAGGAATCAGTGTGAATTCAGTGCAAACACATAATATCGGTATAAAACATGTACATAGTAAAATGTCATCTTGATATTTATTTATTCAACGCTAAAACGAACTACAGTGAGTTGTTCTATGGTCATATAAAAATAAAGATACAATAAAATAAAATAAAATAAAATAAAATAAAATAAAATAAAATAAAATAAAATAAAATAAAATAAAATAAAATAAAATAAAATAAAATAAAATAAAATAAAATAAAATAAAATAAAATAAAATAAAATAAAATAAGATTAAATAAACTAAACTAAACTAAACTAAACTACACTAAGATACAGTAAAGTTAATCAACTACACAGAATGCTAAATAAAGCTAAGTAATATTACAAACACGCAAAGGATCATAATAAACTTATACGGTACAATACAATACAATATACTAGCTAATATTGTTGAGGTAAAAAAAATCACATTAGAGTCATAATTATGGTGGAAAGAATATTTTAAATTTTGGTGGAGTTGTTCACATCTCATTTGCATACATTTTTATATATATTGTAAACAATATTTCATAATTGCCTCGAATTTGAAATATGGGTTTGAAGATAAATCACCTCGAACTAAATTTCGGTGTAGTAATTCGATAGATAATAATAGAAACTATTATCACGATGATATTCCAAAATGGATCGGTCGGCCACAATCGGTTGCTTGTAGTACAAAATCCGCGCCTGGTGAATCTTTTCAAAATGATGAATACCGTTTTATTTGTACTGTGGAGACAAGATGGCCGTCCACTGTCTTCTATGTATGTAATTTATTTGTTAAGGTTTAAGCCTACTCACGATTTTAAATACCGAGAATTTACTTATTTTCCAATAAATTGTAGTTCCTGGCAATATAAGGATATTGACTGAAAAGTATGTATTTTAGAGGATAGTGGGCAAAAATATTAGGACAAATTTCTCAGAATACGTCACTGTAACACACAAAAGAATGCTATTTTATGGTGCCATGAAACAATAGCTCCATGATTTTACACAATAAACCGATGAACATTGCCATGCGATTTATGACCAACTTTCTCAAACATTATGAGTTTTTCCTTGCAGCGTAAGAATGCTACTTGATATCAATAATGATACTAACCGGCGACTCCAACAGACAGGCTAAACCATAGAACAGGCAGTTTCCATGACATACTTACTCTATAACATAGCCTAAAAATCACATAACAAAAACGCTCGACGTGGAAACTAAGGTAAGGTCATTTATGTTACAGATTGCGAAAATACCAAAGATATACACTTCCATTATTGGAGACATGAGTTTTATTTTATTTTTTTACATAATTTAATACTGAGACAAAATGGCCTTTGTGGCACCAAAACCAGAAATGTATCATAATACCACGCAGAATGTATAGTTGGCTCAAAATTCATCCCTCGCTGTTTAGGTGTTATTCCTCTGTGTCGACATAAAAAACTTACAATAATTAAAAACAAAAAGTGGAAGAGAAGATACTAAAAAAAGTATTATGACTGTGTTTTGTGTCTGTCCCATTTTCGGGAATAAATTCCCCGTCCACAGTCCCGAGTTTGCTGCGTTTAACCACAGTCCCTCTATGATAGAGGGACTGTGGTTTAATGCATAGACCGTACGAAACATACAAAGAAATCCGGCCTACAAAAAACCCATACAACCGGCCGGCCGGCCCACAATGCAATGCAACGCAGTCAACACGTTCAATATGGCGGCGTGTTTCTGCGGTAGTAATGGAAGCACATTGTCCTATACTTTGTTAATTTACTGAAGACGATAACGGTAAGTCAGCTCAATTAGAATTCCAATCTATACACTACATTATTGCAGTTATTGTCTCGATAGAGCACTCGCTCTTGTGCATTTACTATGGAGAATAATAACCTGTGAAACGTGTTAACGTGATTCCCCCAAACCCAGGCGTAAATTCATGACCGGGGATTTCCCGGTGGTTGCAGATAGCTCTGTTTTTTAACTGCCTATATTGTTGCGTTCTGATTTAATAAGACGATCTGAAATTGCTGACATTACTTTCAAATTGTAGATAATCTATTGTGACCGACAGAATGCAAGTCTATCACGGGGAACACGTGGTTCATTGCATAACATTGCCATTGGCCGGAGACTCGCGTCGTACAGAATACGTAGAGATCGACGTACAGCCTACGTCGTAGTACTGTACTTTCTGCCAAGAAAGGAATTGCACTCGTGGATGTTGCTAGCTGTGAATATGGATTTAATCCAATGGTGTCCACTGTGTGAAAGAAAGGGGATTAAAAAGAGGATTAAATTGTTCCAGGTGAATTTGGAGGAAGCCTTGTCTATGTGCGAGAACAGCGAGGTGAGTTTTGTTTTGACATCTTCACTTTATTTATACTAGCGAGCAGTACTAATTAAATACAATTGTACATGACTGATATTTATTTAGTGCTTCATACGAGAATATGTTAAAACTTGTACATATTTGTGACATGAATTTCACATTATCAATAAATAAAATAGATAAAATGTATGTTGTGTTCAAATACACAATGTGTTCGATATACGCAATGTTCTGTTTGATATATGCAACATCTTGTTTGATATGTCAAGTTTGATATACACAATGTGGTGTTCGATATAGGCAATGTGGTGTTCGATATAGGCAATGTGGTGTTCAATATACACAATGTGGTGTTCGATATAAGCAATGTGGTGTTCAATATACGCAACATGGTGTTCCATATAGGCAATGTGGTGTTCGATATAGGCAACATGGTGTTCTATATACACAATGTGGTGTTCGATATAGGCAATGTGGTGTTCAATATAGGCAATGTGGTGTTCAATATACACAATGTGGTGTTCGATATAGGCAATGTGGTGTTCAATATACACAATGTGGTGTTTGATATAGGCAATGTGGTGTTCGATCATATAGGCAATGTGGTGTTCAATATTCACAATGTGGTGTTCAATATAGGCAATGTGGTGTTCAATATACACAATGTGGTGTTCAATATAAGCAATGTGGTGTTCAATATACGCAACATGGTGTTCCATATAGGCAATGTGGTGTTCGATATAGGCAACATGGTGTTCTATATACACAATGTGGTGTTCGATATAGGCAATGTGGTGTTCAATATACACAATGTGGTGTTCGATATAGGCAACATGGTGTTCTATATACGCAACATGGTGTTCGATATAGGCAACATGGTGTTCGATATAGGCAACATGGTGTTCTATATACACAACATGGTGTTCTATATATGCAATGTGGTGTTCGATGTATGGAACGTTTGATATGCGCAACATTTTTTGCGACTGCAACACAAAGTAGTTTTGAAGTACTTGATTTTTCAGTACTTCACTCGTCTCTTTGGTAATACCATTTAGATTTGAATATTATCGTCTTGCATATTTTTGATAACTTTCTTTTTCTGCATTGTTTTTTTTCAGTGTCCTTACCCCTTGGGAACCATGTCATCTGCTAATATCCTTATCCAGAGAAAGGCATCAGAAATTGCCAATGTAAAGCGGAAGAAAAGGAAAAGAGGGGTTGAAGAGATAAGTTTTAGAAACAAGAAACTCGCTAAAGGTCCTGGAAGTGTATGCAGTGAGGTCCCATCTGTGTCCGATGTATCTAGTGTGGTAACCACCAGCGAGTTGGATGATCTATTAGAAATGTTGAACAATGACACCTTTGAGACACCCACCAATACGGAGACAGAATGTACTGTTCCTAGTGTTGACAATATAGTTCAGTTCCCATCTGACCAGAGTAACGACTATCTTGCATCAACTGACGCGTCACCTGTGTCTAGTGCGGAAAGTACAAATACTGTTCGTATGAGTGCTTCTAATAGTATCCCGGTTGAGAAGAAACCATTTAGAAGGAAGGACTTTAAAGGTTATGTTTCGGGAGAGAAGTCTCAAGGATTAGAACAGACTAATAGTAAAACAGGGTATAGGATAAATATGCAGGCTGCTTTGCAATGGCAGAACAGGGACGCTCTCTGCTGGCTTGATGTTCTCTTATGCTTGTTAGCCCATAATAGAACTTTACAGAAGAGTTTAAAACAGTTGAAAGTATCCGGAAAGTCACTCGTAAAAGAATTGTGCGATACTTACAATAAAGCGATTGGGCTCATGCCCCAAGGTGATACGAAGGGAGCTGAATTTGGAAAGGTGAATAAACTACTTGCTGATGTACAACACAAGGTGTGGTCCTCGTTAAAACCCAAGATGAGATGCCGAAGTGGTCAGGCAGAAAGTCCAGTATTTGCACTGCCACTACTGCTGAAACAAAATACTGCTGTCCAGGATTTGTTTCTTCTAAAATACCACTGGGACTTTGTGTGTCAGAAATGCAACTATAAACAAGTCAATCAGTAAGTGTTCTTGAATCTTGATGAATTTTATTTATTTTTTTTTAAATGTTTTTTTTGGTGCCAGGCGACAGTTCTGGACAATTATTGTCACTGTTGTCTCTCTCTTGAGGGGCCGGGCATACACAATTACATTATGGGATTTTGAAGGGTTAGGGTCAGAATTAAGGTTAGGAGCGGGGGTCTTAAGGATGTCTTTTCCAAACTTTTTATGCAGCTAAATTTCCAGTAATCTGTTTAAAGTGTACTAGATGTCAAATAAAAACAAAACACTTGGGGATGGATGGTGGTCAATCAGTGTGTAAAAAAGTGCTTTGTGTTTTTAACCTACTGTTTGATCTGTGATCTCAAGAATAACATCTAAAGCTAGTTATCTTGGATAATATATATCTGTTTCGAATTTTTGAAAATAAATTCATTGTGCATTTATGCTGTCTTTACAATAGTGAGAAATACCCGATTGTCCAGTGGGATTACCACAATGGACAACAGTCCACATGAAAATACAGTTGCTCAATTAATTTTATTTGTGCTTAGCATTTTGAACACTTAATGTAAACTTTTGCCTCCTTCCACAAAATAAACCAAGAATTATAACATTAGTCATAACAACTTGCACAATTCTTTCTTTTTTCAGCCATGAGAAAATGTTGCCAACTTTTCCCAATGTATGTGATGATTTTAATTTATATCAACCTGGTTTTCTGAGACCTTGTTATCGGTGCAATACGACAGGTCAGAAAAGTACAATGAAATACGACAGGTAAGAGCTTACAGGTTGCACAAATTCAAGGGCGTATAATTCCTGTAGTCATGTATTGGTGAAATGTATTGGGAAGGAATACAAATTAAAATATTAAGAGTTTATGTAAATTAACATAAACATTACATTAATTTGGCAGTTCAGATGGCTGGTTAGAGGCCAATTTAGTTTTAAAAATGCACCATAAACTATTCTTGAATATTAATTTATTCTTGGGCATGCACGGACCTTGTTTCTCTTATTACCAGTACTCTAATCTGAATCAAAATGTCTGACAGGTGGCCATTTTGTGGGTGATTTTGGTATCAGCTACATGCCTGGACAAAATGTTTAGAACAGAATCAGCGAACTTCATTGTGTGGAGTGCGGTCAAACCCTAGTGGCAGCCACGTTTTGTTTTTATTATTAAAGGACGTTTATGTGCGTAATCATTCCATATATGGAATTGGTTTTCCTAATATGGTAGGATAAAAATACCCCGTAAAATACCACAAAGTTACTGCACGCTGTAACTTGTGGCGTTACGGTGACAGATGTATTATTTGTTTTATCCTCATTTCAGGCTACCTCCGTGCATTGTGATGCATTTTGTAGAGGGTTTACCTTCAGCTGACTGCAGTCAATATACGTTTACTCATGACGAGTGGGAATATGTAATAACGAGTGTGGTGGAGTACAGAGATAACCATTTTATAGCGTGGTGCAGAGATATTGAAAGTAAGTGATTATTTGCTTAAAGTAAGTCTTGATGGTGCCCTCTATGGCTGACTCCCACCCATGCTGCCGAGCCACATGAGGGCTACCATCCCAATATCTGCCTCATATTGTTGTTTAAAATACCCAGATATTAGAGCTCTTAAGAGTAATGCATCTTTTATGACTTAAGTTAATTCTAAAATGCAAGGTACCTATCATGAAACATGGTTCTGTGAAACTGGTTCTTAGTTTTACAATCTTGGATGGATTACAGGAGTTTTCCATTTTGAGTCCACTTCCACATTCACTAATTGAACTGAACTGAATTATGCCAACTTGGGTGCAATAATACCCACAAGTATGGTCTGTCTATCGAATGCAGTGATGTTTAAGTATGCTATTGAGCCATCCCGAGTACATAAGAAATAGTGCATATGTAATCACTATCTGCAGCACAGAATCTTTTTCATAGTTTATAATTTCTTTTCGTTGCAGGTGATTGCTGGTTGAAGTGTGATGACTTGGATTCACCTCTCTGTCAGTGGAGTAAAGAACTACCAAACATTAAACCAAATGAAATACACATGGTGCTATGGGAACGACAGGACACAGGAGGATCATCACGAATTGTACCACAGCACAAAGTTACAACCGACCAACTGCTTGATTGTCATAAAACTAATAATTGTAAAAATACTTGTGTTAAAGAATCAAGTACTGCAATGGTTTCTCCTATACTTACAGATAGTTTGCCCACATCGGTTTCTAAACTCAATGCTGTTTCATCAGCCAGTGCGATCTCAACATCACCACACGCGGCAAATGGGAAGCTTCGCCAGCACACAAATCCCACAACTTCAACTCAGGGTTCACATAACGTTAAACTTGTTTCCCCTGAAACAACAAACACTATTTCTATATCAAGTAATCGAAAAGCGATTTCATCTATGCATATAGAAAAATCTTATCTACGTGACAATTTTATTACGTCATATACTGGGAAGGAGGTCATTGTCACTGTGAGAAAGAATGCTCCAAATATACAAACACTGCCAATTGGAGGAGACAAAAACACAACGTCTGGTAACGCTAAGTTTGAAAAAAACAAGATCATGTCAAATAGTCATGCGTCAAGCAAACAAACCAATTTAAAAGAGCCAACCTCAAAAAAATCAACGCAATTGAATATGGACTTGATCATGAGTAGCTTGAACAAAAAGAGTGATCGCATAACCATATCTACCCCAAGAACAGGTTCGGTTGTGCGTGCACCGACCACTCCTGCCACGTTGCAATCTTCAGCGAAGATTGTTCCAACGTTCAGTACCAGCAGAACGGTGAGCTTAACAAAGGTTGGTCACAAAAAGGAGTTTGCAGGGTACCTTGCTTGCAAGAATGTGTCAAAGTCAGATGCAAGTGCACTCCCTAATGTGGCAGTAAAGAATACCAGCAGAGCTTGCTACAATCCAAAAAGTCAGTCGACTCTTCTGATAGAGATTCCGAAAGAGTTACCACTGAAAAGTACAAGCATGAAACCGAATTCAGTGCGACCCAGCAGATGCGGAAGTATATCTTTTTCAGATCAGAGCAGCCCAAGTACTGTTTCAGAGTGCAGTTCTGTGTCTTCACGTGATGATGCAATCCACAGCATCCAAGACGAACTTTGTAGAGCTTTAGACATTACGGATGGTGCTCTGTCTGCAGAGAGTTCTCGACTGTCTAGCCCAATTGATGAAGGATTTCTCTCGTCTTTCTTCTCGGATGATGCGTCTAAAGCGTCCAGACTGATGGATGAAATCATGGATGAGATTGCTACTTTAGGAAGCTGACAGTGGTTATTTATTTGTTATCTTGCCCTTATTAGGAGGGATAGATACAAATTTGGGGCAGGTGTCTGTCGTTCATATTGTAATAAGTTCTTTTGCATGGCCATATCTAGTGGTTTAAAACTTGAAAAACATCATTCATCAGCGATGTTGTCATTATACATGCTAATATTTAGTCTGGGTTCCAAAGTTTGAGAAAAAGTCTGTCTGTTGTCGTTGTCGTTGGATAGCAATGGAACAATCCTTGCTAAAAGTCTGTCAAGGTTGTCGTCATTATCTTTTGCCTGATAGACTGAAGTAATATTTGTGATGTTAAATCCTGTCCTTGCTAACTTATTTTGAGTAACTATGCAGAGCGCAACAGGAGTCAATCTCGTACTGATGTCTGTCTCTGGATGGATGCCTCAAAACTCCACAAATATCTCGAGAACACTGGATGGAAGGGAATGTAATTAGATACACTGTGATAAACTACAGACCTGATTTGATTTTAATACAAGTATGTGCATGTTAATTAGGTAATTTGCATACTAATTAACTACATTCAGTACGTTTTTCACACAGTAGCTTTCTCAAGTACATGCATACTGTTTTTATTACACCATATACTGTGTGTGTTGTTGAATGTTTGGCATCAATCTGTGCATTTTAATTAGCTAATTTACATAATTGTTTCAAATGCATATTTTTCAGCAGTTTGATCAAATCATTGACACTTTATACATGCTTTTTGTTTGTGTAGATGAATATCTACAATGTAATTACCCTTCAGCTATATACTGTGGAATACTTTATTTTCGCTGGAATTAATTTTTGCTGAAAAGGCTTTTTGAGGATTTTGTATGGAATTTATTTTCACTGATTTTTTATGAGTTTAATGTGAAATATAGGAAAAAAAGTATATTCGCTGGATTTTATTTTCACAGAATCATCCCTTCAGCGAAAATAGCGAAAATAAATTCCAAGCGAAAATAAAGTATTCTACAGTATTAATAGTACATATCTGATACTATCGTTAGATTGTAAGAATGGAGACAGTCAATTTTACTATAATCAGTTAAAATGTTTTAAAAATAGGAGTTCAATAATTTATATATAATAATCTTATGTGAATACAAACCAGTTTCATTTTTTATTTTTCAAAACAAATTCAAATTTTTTTCTAAATAGGTTTAAATGCGACATCACAATATGGAGAACTTGATCATTTTATGATGTTATTCGATATAAAAGCACTATTAAATTACCTTAAATTAGCCATATGTAGAGAATTTGAAATAGACACACCTTGCATATTCATGATTACATCAAATTGCTATGTAGGTAGGTAACACATTTTATAATAACTCGTACAGTGTTTTTAAGCAAAATCACTAGAAAACAAAATATTTGCAATAATAGCCCCTTTAAAGTAAATTTAAGTTTATTTGCATATTAAATATCTTGTCTGTGGACTAAATGTATAACCCAGAGAAGAACAAACTCTGATTCTAATTAAATAAACAAGTATTGTGCAGTAGAATTTGAACCTAGAATTTGTCGTTTATCTCATTTTACGGGAGTATTTTCAGTCGTGTTTTGGTTTATGTCTAATTACTCAGACTTTAAAGCGAGAGGGTCGCCACCTGTGTGCACGGATGAGAATTGAGTCCCAACCGACGATAACAACACGCGCTAAAAACGCAAAGGTCATGGGTAGACACTTGTTTGTAAGCAATGACATGCTATGGCCATCTGAAGCATGCGCAAGTGACTGCTTTATTGAAGGTTTTGTTGATATACAAAAGGCAAGGTTTTTTTACTTCAGCTATGAATGCATGTCAGTTTAGTTATCTGGATAACTACCAAAACTGCTACTTCACTTCTGGATCACTACAAATAATAAAGTAGCATGACCTTTCACCTAAAGTCAACATGATTCATCTATCAAAAATTGATTGATGATTTATAAGATGAAGGTATACAAGTGCGTGAAATGGGATGAAGATCTCGCCCACATCTTTCTGGGAAAGGTAGTCTTTGAATAATGTTTGTGCTGAATCGCGAAGCATTTTATACATGCCTGCTTGAATGCAGCAATGAATTTGCTAGTTTCAGTTTACGCAATTAGACCTGTAAGCGCCAACTGCATTCCGTAAAGCTTTTGGTTAGAAATGGGTTTGATTGAAGCACACTAAACGACTGCTCTACATGGTAGTTAGAAGAGCGTAGGCCTGTCTTGTATATCCTTGATAATGCATTGTGGCATTCAGTCGGTGAGAAACTTGCGAGCAGCATAGGCATATTTCTTTCGTCGTTCAAGTATTAAACAGGTTTTTTTGTTTAATTGCATAGATAAAATAAAATTACTGCTTGTGTCGTTTAAGTGGTCTGAAGAAATTCAGAGATCGGTACAATAAAATATTTACCTTCTTTTATAGCGACTGTATTTTTGTACATTGATTTGGAAATGTTGCAAGTATTTATGTAACTTTAAATCTGGCCAACTCAATCTCCTTGTTGGTCTGTTTTCTAGAATAAGTTGCTCGCAATACGATCTTGTAATAATAAATTATGAAAATCTATCTGACGATTGTGCTTGTTTTTTCATTGTATGAGAGTAGCAAATTAAAACTCAACTTGCGTTGGTATTGTCAACTAATTAGTGTAACACTAGTTCTACAAGACTGTACACTCTTTGCATTGGTATTGTCAACCAATTAGTGTAACACTAGTTCTACAAGACTGTACACTACTTGCATTGGTATTGTCAATCAATTAGTGTAACGCTAGTTCTACAAGACTGTACACTACTTGCATTTGTATTGTCAACCAATTAGTGTAACACTAGTTCTACAAGACTGTACACTACTTGCATTGGTATTGTCAATCAATTAGTGTAACGCTAGTTCTACAAGACTGTACACTCCTTGCATTTGTATTGTCAACCAATTAGTGTAACACTAGTTCTACAAGACTGTACACTACTTGCATTGGTATTGTCAATCAATTAGTGTAACGCTAGTTCTACAAGACTGTACACTACTTGCATTTGTATTGTCAACCAATTAGTGTAACACCAATCTGATTAAAATCTGATGTAGTGTGCGGGCTTTAATTATTTTAGCTATAAACTTATTTTAATTTTATTTTTCATTACTTTTGTTATTAATGCCCTTTTTATTTATTATTTTACTTTGATTTTTTTAAAATTCCGCCCTACCTACATCTGATCCGACGCCTATGTAAGTCCCGTTCAAATCTCGCGTAAGTAACAGCCAATCACAGACCCCCTTTTATACAGGCTGTCGGTTGCTTACTTTTCAGTGTATACGGGCAATCTATCTATACATTATATTTTGCCCACTTGAATAAACCATTAATAGAAAATTGCTAGTATATTTTTATTTGCAAAAGAAATTCCACAGCATTTTACAATTTTTGTCATTACATTGAATATGTTTTTCACTTCCAACAAATGTGTACACTTCCAGATACATCTTCGCCAGCCAAGGTTCGTTCATTCAGTCATCGCTTCAATTTTACATCACTGAGCATAATTATCTAGAATGGAAGCAAAAAAAATAAGTAAATCGTAATGATTAGAACACTGTAAACAGCTATAGTAAACAATGCAAACTGATTTTAAATTGTATAGCGGTCACCGGCCCACGGCATC